CTTAAAAGATGGTCTCAGAACTTGCATATTACCTACACTATGGCAAGAAAGAACTGCAGTGCTATTTTAGCACTTCCAAGTTAAATCAGTCTGATAAAAGGACATCGTACAAAATTTCAGCATAGTTTATTACTGGCTGCTGGTGAAAAAATCATAACTCATGCATTATGTATACATCGTTACTTGAGATGTGCAAGCAATTAACTGTCCCTGTGTAAACAGCATTAATACTTGAATCTTAGCCATAAACCTGCCCTAATATGTCAACAGATGAAAAAAAGCAATTTTTTTCCATTAAGGAATATTGAGCAAGTATGGAAATTATGATGATCCAGCTACAAATTGTAATACTGAGCACTGACTGTGTGTAGTCTAAACATCCTCCTCATTCAGCTGAGAAGATGTTGAGACATAGAAAGTGGTCCTTAGTTACCAATGCAAGATGAGAAACTATCTCAAAACGATGCAATTTCTCTTATAATTCAAAAGACTTAGAAGTATTCTAAGTGTCTCAAAAATCATAAAGAAAAATTAAAAGCCTCCCACCAAGCAAAGCCTCTTTAAAAATTCTTTCAGAAACTGAAAATGGGGAGTTAGAAAAGGATATCTCAGTGTTATCCTACCTTGACACTCTAAGTAACTAAAGCATAAATGGAGAGAAGATTAATCAGATGTTTCAGAAAACTTGCTAACCCCCTTGAATGCTCCCAGGAACAAGCAAAGATTGAATTTTTCAGAAAGATTCCAGTTACATTTAGCAGTATTTTAATTTTAAAAAAGGATACTAATGTTTTTTGACATCTTCAACTGCAAAGACTTTGCTCCTCTGGGCTGTTCAGTACGTGTTCTGGTAGCACATCTTGTTCTGGTTTGGTCCTATAGTACCTCACAGATAGAACAAGTTTTTAACTCATTACAGAATATCTGCAAGAACTTCCAATAAATGCAACTGGTTCCCTTTTGATTTCCCTATCAAATTACATAGTGTAGCACCAATATTTACAAAACCACGATGGCACCTGCTTAGCAAATATTTGAAATTCTGAAATAGTTCTTGATTTCTAATGTAGTTCAGAGATAAATTCAGAGAAACAAAAGCTATACAATCTCGACCTTTCTAGACAAGGGTATACAGATAGAGATTTCAGAAAACATCAGGAATTAAATATGGATGTAGCATTAATTTTTAATATTGTCCAATGTCCTCTCAGTAAAGTTTATCTTCCCAATATTTATCTATTACTAAGTATATCTAGTTGTAGACCAAGATGACTTTTCAGGTTGTTTTCATATTTACTAGGTTTTGTCATCAGTCAGAGTAGTTTTTGGTAATACATTCTTTTAAGAGGTACCTTTAAGATGTTCAAAACCAGTGTGAACCATTTTGTTTTTTCAGCAAAACCTCTCAGTAGTACAGTTGGGGGACAATAAAATGAAGAGGAAAATATGTGGCTGAAAGAAGGAAAACCACTTGAAAACTTTTAAGTGAGAAAGGAGAATAAACTGCAAAAAGGCAAACTGGAAAAAGGAAGACGCAGGGAGATAACATGACAGCATGTAGAGCCTTCTTCTCGAAAAAGCTGTATATTCAGTTTTAGTAGGGATTGTAGCAGAGATCCTAAATACCCACAATCTACTTCACAACGGTATTGTCTTCAGAAGGATTGCAGGGATTTGTACATGCTACTCTACTCTGTTTTTAGAATACATTACCATACAATTCCAACAGTTATTGTATTAAAGTAGTTCCAAGATCAATTCATCTTACACATTAGTCTTCAAAATTAGCTGTTTACAACTTAAATGCATGTAATACTGTAAGAATATTTCAAAATAAGTGTGAACTTTTGAAAGGAGCTCCAGCCAACTCTACTAACAAGAGTCTGTCAAGTTATACATCTTTACCTTCACATTAACAGAAATAATAGAAAATAGAGTTTTATGGGGAGCAAGGTAAATACACTATTCTATAAAGTTAACACAAAGCTTTTTTTGTTTTGTTTTGTTCTGGCTTTACCTTTAAATTAAGGATCTGTGTGATTGTACTCTCTAGGCACCGGGTTTGGTCTCATTTGAATACACTATGCCCTACTACACAGACTCGTCACTCCAGATTTTGGTATCTGGTATACCGTACTTCTCATCAGAGAAAGTTACTGCCGATTTGTTGAAGGAAATAGCTATGAGAAAAAAGTCTCAAACTTAGTCTGAAACATAACATGAAAAAAAGGGAAGAGGTACACTAATGTTCATTAATGCGTATGCCCTGCAACTGGAGGAAACACATTGTCTCATTTAGATCTTCCAGTACTGAAAGAAAAACAAGCTTACTGGACTGAAATTAACACTACTGTGATTTACAGGATTACATTTATACACACAGTTTCTGTGTTTGGTTAAGAAAAACAAGATAAAAAGTCATTACATGCTGCTTTGAATATATGTTAACTTCATGTTCATTATATGTTTCTTTAAAATAATTCCATTGGAACATGGTCTGCTTAGAAGAGAATTTTTGTGTGTGGATTATGGGATGTGAAAGGGAAAACGATAACACACATTAGATCATATCTTATGCTACATTTTTTCTCCCATCATTGTGCTGATAGCTGCTAAACTATCATTCATCTCCTGCTGTATAAAACAGAAGACAGTTGGGGCTGCTTTAACTTGTATTGCCTGTTAAAAAAATTGAAAGGTAAATATGGATGCAAGCAAATGAGGATCTGTTGAATGTATTAGCATTGCTCTATGCATTAACATTGTATAAACATCCCACCTCAGCATGTACTTGCATTTATTTTTTGCATACTTACTTTGAACTCCCTGGGAGCGAACTGTTTTCCAGGTTTCTGAGGCTACCTCTTTTATATCCACTTGATAATGATGAATGGGCACACCTCCATGTGAATCAGGCTTATTGAACAAAACTTTGGCAGTAGTTTGTGACACCTCTAAAACTCGTACTCCATAAGGATTTGATGGCACATCTAAAAAAGTACAAACATCAATTTAATAATCAGCAGCAACTAGACAGACCTAAACAGTTGATAATCTACCCAAAAAAGTCTCCTTAGCGTCTCAAAGGGAGGAAAAAAAAATCTAGAAAATGATGTAATAATGTTTGGATTAGATAAACAGCTTACGCTTTCTCATAGAGCTGTAAGAAAACTGCAGCTGTTCTCCTGTATGATAAAATTCTGCAAAACCATTTACAATTTCTGCCTTTCTTTTATAATATGATCTTTTTTAGTGGCTAATTTCATAGTAGCGAAATGTAAGAGATTCATCTGTTTACTGTACAATTATGTGAAGGAGAATAACAAACTTTAAATCCAATTTAACAAGACGAAGTTATGGCTAAATAGATCATTCAGAGTCTGAATTCTTCTAAATAAGACAAAAATGTACAAATTATTTAGTAATTTTTATGAAACTCTGAAATACAGCTGACATTATGAATCCTTTTTTTTTTTTTTTTTTTAGAAGACTGGATTCCAAGCTACTAGAAAGGAATATAAATGGAAGGTTTCTATTGTCTTTTCTGTTTAAGAAATAATCTACATGATAGGTTGAAAGAAACATTTTCTCTGAAATCAAAAGCAAGTACATATCTTTCAAAATAGAAAAGAACTACGAAAATAAAGCAGGTATCTGTAGGTGTTGAGATGCTAAATATGAAACACAAGCAAAGAAATAACCTTGGGGGCAGTACATCTTTAAAAACAGAAACATCATGTTACTTTTACAATGTGTGACCAAACTAACATGTAGAAGACTAAAGACTAACTTTTCTAATTGTCCTACATTTTAAAGTGTTATAACTACAAAAAATTTAAAATACTAGGAAGAATTTTAATTTTGAGGACAGGGAATACCAGGGACCTGAAACACCACTGAAAATTTCTCTTCTGATATACCTGACAATTTTATTTCATACCTGCTTACAGATTTGACGTTGCTTTTGTCTCCATGGTATGGAAGATATTTTTATAAGGACATATAAGAATTTGAGCCAAAGCCCTTCAGTTGGTCAGTGGGTACTGAACCATTTACATAAAATGTGGTCTTTATTCAAGGGCTGTCAGAGAGTTGGGAATAAACAGAAAATCAATATGAGCTTCACACAGTATTGTACGTGAATGAGAATTAGCCAAAAAATATCTATAAAATATTTAAGAATGGATTTAAGGACATATTCAGCCACAAATTCTCAGGAAAAGAACACCTTCCAAAGCTGCTCTACAGGGGCTGATCTGTATAGCCTTTTAATAACCAGGCACCTAAATTTTTCCAGCTGTCAGAGTGTATTAATGGTCGTATCATACCTCTTATAGTTAGCATTTCTGAATAGTCTCCTGAAACTTCCAGTGCTTGGTGCTTACTGGGTTAAAACCAGCATAGATTTACTTACATGGACGAATGACTTTAGTATTATTTACTTAAAGGCCCAACTATATCAATCCATGACATTAAAGTTTTGAGTAGAATGCAAATCTCTGCTTGAGGGATACAAACCCTCCAATCATATCTTATTCCAGGAAGCATTCATTTCACCAGGATGTAAAACATTGAATAAATAGTTATATGAGTTGCTTGCTACGTAAGCATTGATCCCAAAATCAGAGGAGGATGAGGATTAGAACCACCTTGTGACTCTTCTCCTGCAGGTTCTCATTACAGCTGAAAGCAATTTTTTTTCCCCAATAGCCACAGTACCTTAAGCACCATTCTTTCTCTCCCTAGCTCAGATGACTGTTCTGACAGAGGTGGGAAAAATACAACATAAGAATGCCAGCAAAAGCAATCCAGGATAGCCAAAGTGAAGCAGCATATCACTGTATGAGTGATGTGGATACCAATGACTTGGGAAGATTAATGTAGCTTAGCAGTACTGAAGATAAATGCTCTTTGGATTTAACTGCAAGCTGAAAGCTGCTGTGGATACCTATAATATTACAAATAGTTTCCACACACTTTTATTCCTTTTTTGTTAAAAGATTTCAATACGTAAGAAAAAAAATTTTTACAGTTGAATGAATATTTGATTACACTCAGGGTATTTTTATGTCAGTTTTTGTATGCTCTTTTTATAAGGCAATTCACTGTCACTTCAGTTTCGATCAGTACAATTATTTGGTCAATGGTATGAAACAGAAGTGTGTTATTTACATATGCACTTTGTTCTTGACTTTCATAATGTTAAGAAGATCACTTTTTCTTGTGTCTTTATGTCTGCGTAAGATTGACTAATAAACATGGCATAGGGAAGAAGACATCCTTCAGGAAGAACCTTATGTTCTCTACTGCAGATTCAAGTATAATTTCTGCCAAATGAAGATATGATTCTATTTGGTAACAGCATAAAATGAAGCTTCTGTGAAAAACCAATAAAATATTTTGCATAACTAGCACAATGCAATACGTTTAAAACTCATTTAAGTATGAAATAAATGCACAATACTATTTTAAGTACGCATCCCACAATACAAGCAACCCACGCACAGAGGTAACTTTTATGCAGTTTTCATAGTTCGGCTGTATGAGTTTGAAAGAAAAGAGTGAATTTAACTGAAGAAAATACAATAGGAGATATATTCCTAGTCAAAATCAGAAACAAATCCTAGCAATTCCAGTAAGACAGAATAAAATACCTATTGTCTTTTTCAGGCTAGATAAATCTAGAATTTTTTTGCCAAAGATGATCATTAGCAACATAATTAACTAAATTTAATTCTGTAGTTCTCTAATGCACAAGAATTTGATCATGCAAAGTAAACAGCCCTCTGGTCCTGATCTAGCTAAATATTTCAGCATTTGAGCTTTCCCCTGTCAGCTGAAATTATTTGGAGCATTGTCATGATTTTTATGATAGAATTGTAAGACTTTTGGCTCAGTGTTTAGCACGAGTGAAGAATAATTTGTGAAGTTGTGTAGTCTGAAGTCTGCATCTGGAAGGATGAAATTGTGGATGCTTCTTGTTCTTCTTTTCTTCTAAGACCAACCAAATGAATCTTAGAGGTCAGCTATGGGCACTGATTACTCTTTCATATACTTTTACAGATATACGTTGAAGGATTATATAGCAGAAGAAGTATGCTTTTTCTTTTCTATGATCTAAAGATCACTTAGTGATGGCACAGATTCTGATACACTTTCTCAGAAGTTTCACTGCTATCTTTGTTGTCAATTATACTTCTGCCAAAACAAGGGATAATTCACCAAAAGTTCACCCTTTAAATTAAAATAAGTCATTAAAAGAAACAAGTGAAACACTTTAGTCAACTTCATCTTCTTTCCACAGTATCTATTCTTCTGTTCAGTATGTGACTGCATTCATGTATGATGTTAAAGAATCCCTAAAAAAATAAAACAAAAAGAGATGCCCAAAGCATAACTTGATGTATTTTGTACTTGGCATATAAAGCTGGTTAGCATGGATGAACTTTGTGATACAGTGTTGTAATTAAGTAGTAAGAGAAGTACACACAAAATTACGACTACATCTTTATCTCCACTGATAAGTAAGTACTCTTTCAAGTCTATTACTATGATTACCCAACCCATTCAATAAATGACCACTGTTCTGGGGATTTTCTTTTCAACCTGTTTTTCCTAATAGTTTTATGGAAGAAAATTTTCCTTCTGAGACTTTAGCAGTCCTGGTGTAAATGGAGAAAAGGAAGTGATGGTGTGAGAGTAGGTAGTGGGGTCAGCGATTTATCTTCCAATTAGCTCTTGTCTCCTATCTCATGCCAATATGTTCCTACTGCAGTTTTGCAGCTTTTCCTGTCTCTGTATATCTGGCACATAGATATTGACTGAAAGCAACTATGTCTAAACACTGAACATAAGTAGTATCAGGAGCAGGGCAGGGAAAGA